TCGCACTGATTGGTCGAGTGAATATTTTCATTTCATGTGATTTTTTCACTTGATCGATGAATTGATTACATTATCCAAATATCATACGAACAAATCAATGTTCACTGAATATTGTTTTTTTACATGCTCAGTCATAAGCACACAGTATCGATGGTTTTGTGAACAAAGAGTCACACAAATCCATAGCATCAAACTGAATACAAGCTTTTGAACCTGATTGTTGATTCATTTAATCCTGGTTGGTCAATCAATATAATGTCAACGTCCAGTTTTGAATTTGGAACGATCATCAGCATGAAAAATACGTCACGACTCATCGTGACATAATGCAAATGAGAGCCGTTATACGATAAATATAACAGCAGTTCAGAAATGAATTCGTTGCACGACCGAAGTGAACATGGCAAATTTGATATCGATAGTTGGTAATTCACTCACATTGCTCTGAACGGAGAGAGCGATTGAATCCCACTGGTCTATTTTGGCCAATTATTAGTAAGTACTTATCGAGTAGGAATTCATCGATAGTTCTGACTGTTTTTCCATCATGCAACGGTTCAATTATTGAATAAGTTATCGCTTAAAAAAATTCGATATTTTTTCAGTGATTCAGTTCAAACGTATCAATAATCATTCATTCCAAATAAGAGATGAACACTTCGCAAGGCCAGTCAATATCTATCATTTCAGGAGATGCTGCTTTCCGAAACTACTCTTTTTTAGCAATATTGTTTTGCTTCACTGGTGCACATTAGTCAGTTCACTACGGAATTGCCCAGTATTAAACACATACAATCGAAACATGTTTTGAATAAACTACAGTTCATTGAATCATTACTCCTGAAATAGCACGCTACTTTTGCCCATACGCATTACATCACTGTAGAAGAGTTGGGGAGAACTTTAAGGGGTCAGTTAGTATATCCTAAGAAAATCGAATATTCTTGGCATACACTGTGTCGTGATTAGATAATCACGAAAAGGAAAAGAGTTTAAAATACGAAAAGAAAATG